TATTAGGTGGACAAGGCATGATCGTTAAAACGAAGATACGATACGCTGTGAAACTGAAAGCTATAGCTGAACTTTCTCGAATCTTTACATTCGGCAAGTATTGACATGATATTGACACAGAGGTTAAAGCAGAGTTTAATTTGAAATAAAATTAAAATGTTATCATAGTCATCATTTCATAGTCGCGCCTTTACCACGTACGGCCGTGGAAAGATAGATCGCGCGCGCATACTCACGTGTCCTCGGTTAGCTCGAGCTTACTTTACCTACATGTATAAACGATACGTGCACTCAGTTCGATGACTAAAAGAGAATCGGATGGTGTTACAGTGCTTCACTGGCCTTACCACTCGGTTTGTTCGTTGTTTAATTAATTAATTAAAAAACAGGAGTTATGTGAACATTTGCAACGTACGTGCAACAACCAACACTGCTGCGAACGAAATCAACGAGCGAAAATGAACGTTTCAAACATCGAGTTGCTCGAACAGTTCAAACACGCGGGGAAACTTTGGTATCTCGTTAACCCCTATGAAACAATTTTCCAATTCCCGCATCAAGTTCCCGATTATCAGCAGCAGGTAACCACGCAACACTAAAATTTCTTCTTTCATTATTCGACGCTCCGTCAATGAATAATAACGTAATAATAGTAAGTACATATGTACATGCGTCTGTACGCGTGTCTGTAAACGTGTATTGCAATTATAATCATTAGGCAAGTAACATTACCTCTTTGGTATTGTGAAATTACGTCAAGAGGGCGTAATAGCAAGTTTCTTACTTGTTTTCTTAATATTTACTCTTATATTTACTCTTTTAGTTTCTCATTCTTAGTTTTCAGTTTTCATTTTAGTTGACAATTGAGTATTTGCATATTGAGCGATCCACACGAATATCCACTCGGCAATGTATGCTTTCGTTAATAATAACAAAACAGCCATGTTGAAACACAGAGCGAATAAGCAAATAAAGCGAAACGTACGCACTTGCTTACTCACTTGCCATCTTTCAACTGTTGTTTATTATTTATCTGCTTATATTCGCCTAATGATAATTATGCGGATCGTTTCAAGGATTATTATATAGCCTCCCGTGTTTTACTCGTTAAATTTTACACGCGATGACAATGAAAAGAAAGTTTCGCACTCTACGAAATGACACGAAATGCACGAATATGTATGTATTATATGTGCTTGCACATATTACCGATATATAATCAAACACACAGGCATTACACCAATCAAGGTAGAAAGTAAATGTAAATTAAGATAAAATAAATACATAGGTATGGTTACCATTCCTGGTGCTTATCGTATTGGAGCAAATTATTATATTGTTATCTAAGAAAAAGAGATTTCGTCTGAACGATCAAGTGACGTCCTTATCCCACTGGATATTTCACGAAACTGGCCGGTAAGCATAGATAACGTTTTTTCATCATTTTAGCGCTTATTATTCAACAACTAATCGTACGGTTATATATATTAGCTATTGCTTCTTGCGTTTAAGAGGAAAATATTTATTTATATAATCACGTCATTACTACAAAATGATTGATACATAAATGTACAATTGTAAAATCTCAACTGTAAGATTATACATGAAATGAGGAGATTACTGTTGCTTTAGGAATTGTTTCATAATTATCATGCGATATGTATATATATATAGAGCTTCTTCAGCTTGTTAATGATATGACAGCGTTTCTATCGCTTGAATGTAACTTTGAAGCATAAGCGTGCACAGTTGTTAGTTGATATATGGGCATATGGGAAATTTTAATTTCACTAATATCTTGGACGAAACATTGCAGTGTCGTGTTCCGTGGTGGCGAGTATTACGCGTACATGGTAATTTACGAGAGATACCGCTGGTGGAGTCTGCCTTGGGAGTCAGCATGGACTTGGTGTATCACTGCCGTGGGGGTGGATTTCTGTTACTACTGGGTTCACCGCAGTAACCACGGTTAAATTCCTATCCAACCATGTGTGTGTGTGTGATTGTCGATCCTCTCTAGCTGACAAATTTATAGCGTTTCTCGCCCGTTTGCAGAGGTACACTTTTTATGGGCTCAGCATCAAGTGCATCATAGCAGCGAACAGTTCAATCTCGCGGTCGGTCTGCGGCAATCTGTTTTGCAACACTGGTGTAACTTTGTAAGTATCGCTCGTGTTACGTACACACACACACAC